ATTTAATCCTCTCACCAGGAATATGATGTATTTTACTGAAAAAGAAAATAATGCTAAGACATACAGTGAGTTGCCTAAGATCCACAAAGAAAAGATTTAAATCTCTGTTGATCAGACTACCAAAGCCTTTGCTTTGTTCACGTGAGCTGCAGTGAACCAAGATCACGTCACTGCACTCCAGCCTCGGCAACAGAGATTCCATCTCAAAAAAAAAAAGAAGGACTTCATAATATAGCAGTCACCAGTGCCACTCTTGATGTAATGTTTAATACAGCTAATCTTCCCAAAGATGAGGAAACTGAGACCCACAGTTGATACTTGAGAAAACTGTGAGCTGTCCAAGGTCATACAACTAGTAACTGGTGGAGATAGAATTGCAAACCAGATCCAATGGACTGCTCTTCCCACTGCCCAAGTGCCTCTTATGAATACATGCATGCTTACTTGTTTATACAGGCATAATTTTCATGGCCTCATTATGACTGGATAATGTGTTACATTCAGAAGCACTGTAGACAGGTCGTTTGTTTGAATTCACAGACGCTTCTGTAGCCTCGGCTAATTTAAAAGATAATGTAAGGTTAGTAATGTATAAAGTGGCAAGTTGGCAGCTTATATCAGAAGATTTAGAAAATGTTTAATCTTTTTCAGCTAACAATTTCACTTTTAGGAATTTGCCTTTGAGAAATAATCAGAGGTGTGTAAAAATATTATTATATATGAGAATGTTAATCCTAGCATTATTATATATTACATATAATATTATTATATATGTGGAAAAATTGGAAACAATCTAAATGCCCACCATAGGGATTGATTAATTAAATTATGACATGGGGCCTGTCGCGATGGCTCACACCTGTAATCCCAGCAATTTTGGAGGCCAAGGCTGGCGGATGCCGTGAGGTCAGAAGTTCAAGACCAGCCTGGCCAACGTGGTAAAACCCTGTCTCTACTAAAAATACAAAAAATTAACTGGGTGTGGTGGCAAGCACCTGTAATCCCATCTACTCAGGAGGCTGAGGTAGGAGAATCACTTGAACCCGGGAGGCAGAGGTTGCAGTGAGCTGAGATTGCGTCATTGCACTCCATCGTGGGCAACAAGAACAAAACTCAGTCTCAAAAAAGAAAAAAATTATGGCATGTCCTAATTAGCATGAGGAATTGCTAATGATAGACTGCTAACTATATTTTATAACTATACTATTAATAATAGTTACAAAACTTTCATATTCTATTTAAAGATTATGCATATACATACATAAACATCTGTGTATAGATACATACACACTCCTGCTAGTATGATTATGAGTTATTTCATTCTTTCTCAGACTAATTATTTTCCAGATTTCAACACTGAATGTGTATTATTTTTATAACAGAAAAAATGTAAATTAAAAAAAACAGTGTAAGAACTTTTCAGTGAGTGCTGAAGTTAGATCAATTTTTAAACAGTTAAAATTATTCTAGGCTCTGAGTGGTATAAGCAAACCAGTCTAAACTTGACTATCAGGTTTAGATCTTAATCCATTGGAATCCCTACAGGGAACTTTTATACAGTTTCTTCTACAATTAGAGCAGCAACATTTTACTTTTGCACATTGTTAATTGATGTAGCAATGGAACATAGTCTGGCTCCAGCCTTAGATTAACATGAATATGCTTGGATTTCAGGAAGATAACATGCAAAGTTTCTTAATCGGAACTAATATGTTGTATAATGCAGCATTATATACTCTTAGAATAATTAAATATATGCTTTTGGAAAAGATAAATTTACTCATTGGCAAAGAAGAGATTTAAAAAATATTGTAGGCCAGGCACGGTGGCTCATGCCTATAATCCCAGCACTTTGGGAGGCCGAGGCGGGTGGATCACGAGGTCAAGAGATCGAGACCATCCTGGTCAACATGGTGAAACCCTGTCTCTACTAAAAATACAAAAAAATTAGCTGGACATGGTGGCGCACGCCTGTAGTCCCAGCTACTTGGGAGGCTGAAGCAGGAGAATTGCTTGAACCCAGGAGGTGGAGGTTGTGGTGAGCCAAGATCGAGCCATTGCACTCCAGCCTTGGTAACAAGAGCGAAACTCTGTCTCAAAAAATAATAATAAAATAAAAATAAAAAATATTGTGAACTAAGTTAGTTGGTTTTGCATAAATGAAATTAACCAAAATGTTTGAAGCCAGACTGAACTGAGTGCCAACAGTACATGTGTTTTATTTCTGATTCTGAGAAAAACATGGACTCATAAGGTCTATTCTCTGACGTGTTGAAGTTTGTTGATGGGACAGTCTCTCATTAAGTGTATTTAGACTAGATGGTTCAGAAGGTCTGTTTTCATTAAAGTTTATTAACCATATCATTATTTACTGCTTAATACTATTAAAACAATAATATAATCAGGCCAGGCGAGGTGGCTCACGCCTGTAATCCCATACTTTGGGAGGCTGAGGTGGGTGGATCACCTGAGGTTGGCAGTTCGAGACCAGCATGACCAACATGGAGAAAACCTGTCTACTAAATGTACAAAATTAGCTGCAATTTTGTATATTTAGTAGAGACAGGGTTTCTCCATGTTGAGGAAACATAGATGTAAATATACAAAATGGTAGTGCATGCCTGTAATCTCAGCTACTCAGAAGGATGAGGCAGGAGAATCGCTCGAACCCAGGAGGCGGAGGTTGCACTGAGCTGAGATCGCGCCATTGCACTCTAGCCTGGGCAACAAGAGCGAAACTCTGTCTTAAATAAATAAATGAATAAATAATAATAATTCCATCAGACCTTACTCTTAGAAAACAATTTTTAAAATGTATGTCAAGTAGTGTGTTATTTATTATACGGGGACTTTTTGACACATGTTCCTCTGTGTGCTTGATTTAACAACAAATGATTGTATATACAGTTATAATTACAGTTCAGAGTTACATGAAGATATACATGCCTGTGATTAATCTTTTCTTTTTATTTATTAGACATGTAATAAAGTTGTTAAGTATGGATAAGCCAAAAGGAGAAACTTGAAATAATCAATAATCCTACTATGCATAAACAATTACTTCTGGGGTGTTCTGTGTATGGAGTCATGCTATATGTACTATTTTGAGACCTGCTTTTTTCTATATTAATATCATAAGTCTCTATGTTATCAACTACATATATAATTTATTATTATTTTTATTTAAGAATGATATATAATAATGCTCCAATTCGTTATTTACTTTACAAATATTTTAACATGTTATTTTAAACTCAAAACAATTCCAATCTTATTTTAATAAACCGGACTGTCACTAAAATGCTTTCCGTAGAGTTTATGTTGTAAGGCTGCCTTATAAATGGGACTAGCCTTGTAACTGGTTTTTTTTTTAGCTAGGACTTAGTGAGCAACAGATATAACGTTTAAAATAACTGAATATTCCTGGAAAGGACACAAGCAAGCCCTATCTTATGGCAAATTCCACTTTCTAGTAACTTCAGTTAATAGAAGCTTCTAGCACATATCTTGTTTTTAACAGAAACATAGGGGTTTGATTCATTAATCTCTTGGGTTTCAACTCTAACATTTGCTTATTTATATTACTTCCAGGGCATAGTAACAAGTAGTGAGGGTTAAAGGTTTGGTCCTAAAGACCTAGCTGGCATTTCTTGGTGATTGTATTGTAGTTTTGAAGAAATTTTAAAATTTATATTTTGAATATAATATAATTTTTTCTTTTTTTATTCAATCATTTGATCCATCTAGAATTCATTTTGGTGCATTGTATTAGGTACAAACCCAAAGCATATGTCCTAGTCAGCTTAGCTGCTAAAACAGAATACCATAACCTGGTGGCTTAAGCAACAGGCATTTATTTCTCATAGTTCTGGAAACTGGGAAGTCTGGTGCTGGAAGATCAGGGTGCTGGCACATCTGGTTCTTGGTGAGGACCTTCCTGACTTGCAGATGACCACCATTTCCCTGTGTACTTGCACAGTCTTCTCTCAGCACACACTCATGGAGAGGAAGCCCTCCTGTCTCTTCCTCTTCTTATAGAGATACTAGTCCCATTAGAAGGGCCCCATCTCATGACCTTCAAAACCGAATCACCCCCAAAGGCTCCATCGCCAAATACCATCGCATCAAGGGTTAGGGCTTCCACATATGAATTTGGGAGTTTTACTTTAATGCTAATGGATTTAATGCCTTCTTAGAAAGGTCTTCTCCACTCAGATTACTTAAAAAAATTATCTCATGATTTTTTTCTAGTGCTTTTATAATTTTTTCTTTTTTTATTCAATCATTTGATCCATCTAGAATTCATTTTGGTGCATTGTATTAGGTACGAACCCAGATATATGGCTTTTTCTGTTTTCTACCTGGCAACCCAGTTGTCCCAGTGCCATCGATTCAATCTCCATCCATATTTATTTTTGTATGTTTTTATATCTATTCCTGGATTTTGTTTTTATTAAAAATGTTATGAGTGTTATAAATGAATTGAACTGCAAAAAAATTCAATCAGTAGTGAAGTGTAGAGGTAAAAAGAGCTCTTTGCTTCCTTTCTACTCCTTTCCTCCCACTTTTTCTGAGATAATAATTGTTAACAGATAACCGTGTGTTCCTTTTCAACCCTTTTCACTATGTGTGTGTCTGCAACCACATGCATATAGAGCATATGTAATATTGTCTATTGCTGTAAATCACTTTCTTTCCCACCCATCCAATGTCTTAGAGTTCCACGGTAATCCATGCAGTTCTACCTCGTCATTTCTATTTTACCTTTGCATGGAATGCAGAGTATGAATGTGTATCATACTTGTTTGCATTTTCTTCCAGTTCTGTCAAGACTATGGAGATAGGTTATGAAGTATGTAACATTGGTCCTCTTTAATTTGTGATAAGCCTATGCTAAAAGTAAAATGTTTATTTATAAGATTAATTGAGTGTTGTATAATTCATGAAGAAGAAAATCTGAACCACCGTTATTAATATTTTGTGATGCTCTTTCTTTCTAGATAAAATTTGATGCTGGGACTCTCCTTCTTAGCACACACCGACTGATTTGGAGAGATCAGAAAAATCATGTAAGATATAGTTTTTTGCATCTGTTGTAGGTTTTATTTTGTTAATCTATTTTTTAGAGACAGGGTCTTGCTGTGTTGCCCAGGGTGATCTCTAACCTCTGGGCTCAAGTGATCCTCCTGGCCTCAAGCTCCTGAGTGGCTGGGACTATAGGTATGAGCCACCATAGTAGGTTTTTTTTTTTTTGAAACGCACTTTCGCTCTTGTTACCCAGGCTGGAGTGCAATGGCACGATATCGGCTCACTGCAACCTCCGCCTGCTGGGTTCAGGCAATTCTCCTGCCTCAGCCTCCTGAGTAGCTGGGATTACAGGCATGCACCACCACACCCAGCTAATTTTTTGTATTTTTAGTAGAGACGGGGTTTCACCATGTTGACCGGGTTGGTCTCAATCTCTTGACCTCGTGATCCACCCGCCTCGGCCTCCCAAAGTGCTGGGATTACAGGCTTGAGCCACCGCGCCCGGCCCCCATAGTAGGTTTTATATCACTGAAGGTTTTTCTTCTTTTTTCATTTTTGGTAAAACTTATATAATGAATGCAATAATAAGTTTTCTTTTTCTAAATGACAAAAGAGTGTGTCCCATATAATTTCTCTAAATGGAGTTGGAAACAGGAGTTAGCGTGTTGTCTTTTATTGAGCTCCAGAAAAGTCCATGTAGTTATTGGATGGAGAATCATGTTTTTTAAATACCAAATTCTACTCTATATCGGAATGTTCCATGTGTAACAGGGGAATAATTCCCTCATCAGTTGTGAGGGAGTCTTTAAAAAGAGCTCGTAGGTCCTTAAAACCACTAGTCCTAGGTTGTCGTTGAGAATCAGGAGGCTACGTCTGCCAGCAAGTGCATGCTTTTACTAGATATTGAGAACTGTTTCTAACTGACTCAACAAGAGGATTCCCCCACGCCCATTTTTTTTTTTGAGACAGAGTCTCACTCTTGTCGCCTAGGCTGGAGTGCAGTGGTGCAATCTCGGCTCATTGCAACCTCTGCCTTTCAGGTTCAAGCGATTCTCCTACCTCAGCCTCCTGAGTCACTGGGATTACAGGTGCCCACCACCATGCCAGGCTAATTTTTGTTATTTTTAGTAGAGACAGGGTTTCACCATGATGGTCAGGCTGGTCTCAAATCCCTAAGGTCCTGATCCATCCACCTCACCCTCCCAAAGTTCTGGGCTTACAGGCATGAGCCACTGTGCCCAGCCTGTTTTTTTTATTTTTTTATTTTTTTCAGGAAGGGAGAGTGAGTTATGTGTATATAGAGCTGATATCTTTATTCCCAAGAGCTTCAACCTGAAAGTATATATACATTAATTTTAGCATTGCCAGTAAAATAGCTGTCTCATCTGTGCTTTTATTTTCCTGACTGTTCCCCCAAACCCCATGAAATTTTAGTACCACAAATAAACTATACACTGTACTGTAGCCCTTGAAGGGCTGCTGCTAAGCCTTACAATATCTAACTTTTTTACACCCCGGGAACTAACTTTTGTCTCCTAGGTCTGATATTGCCCCTGTTGATAATGCATGCCTTAGAGCAGGAGTCCCCAACTCCACCAGGCCGCAGACCAGTACTAGTCTATGGTGTGTTAGGAACCAGGTCAGATAGCAAGAGGTGAGTGGCGGGTGAGTGAGCATTACCACCTGAGCTCTGCCTCCCATCCGATCAGCAGGAGCATTAGATTCTGACAGGAGCATGAACCGTATTGTGAAGTGCACATGTGCGGGATCATGCCCTTTTTATGAGAATCTAATGCCTGATGATGTGAAATGAAACAGTTTCATCCTGAAACCACAACTCCTGCTCCCCAGGAAATATTGTCTTCCATGAAACCAGTCCCTGGTACCAAAAAGGTTGGGGACTGCTGCCTTTGACTGTTAATATTGTCTAATTCCTTTAAAGGTAATATATATTCAGGAAATTAAATCTTTTGGGGGAGGATAGAATGGATGTCTTTAAACAACATGTTGATAAGTTAATCTTAGTATAATTTTTTGAATATCATATAAAGAGGTCAATTTGAACAAATCTTTAGACTTACTACATTGCTAGTCATATATAAAAATTAAACATACTGTTTATATATGTTAAAAATTAAATGTACCGGCTAGGCACAGTGGCTTCTGCCTGTAATCCTGTCACTTTGGTGGGCCAAGGCAGGGGGATCACTTAAGGTCAGGAGTTCGAGACTAGCTTGGCCAGCATGGTGAAACCTGTTCTTTATTAAAAATACAAAAATTAGCTGGGTTGTGGTGGTGCTCACCTGTAATTCCAGCTATTAAGGAGCCTGAGACAGAAGAATTGCTTGAACCTGGGAGGTAGAGGTTGCAGTGAGCCAAGATCGTGCCACTGCACTCCAGCCCAGGCGACAGAGCAAGACTGTCTCAAAAAAAAAAAAAACTTAAACATACAAATAAAGGTATGCTACATCAATATTTTCTGTTTAAAACTATTAATAGTTGTATGTGGGCATATGAGTGAAGTGTGGAAAATTATAAAGAAGAGAAAGTCATCTACATAAATGCTCTCCTTAAAATTGTTTTGATGTATCTGTTTTGTTTTTTGCTTTCACTGTAAGCAAATATTACAAGTAAAAAGTTTTCATAGAAATATTACTCTTAGAAAATACACCCATTGTAAAAACAAAAGCTAGTCACAGCTTCTTTTACACTTCTTATGTTCTTCCACACAGGAAAATGCCACCTCAGTATTGTTTTCATTTAATTTTTCCTTGAGTTCCTTTAAGGAATAAAATCATTATTGTTTTTCATTGTTTTTATTAAGGTATATGACACTCTGATTAATGCTATAAAACAAGGATTTCTGGCAAGTGTTATGGATGTTGGGTAGAGTCTTTGACTGAGCTACTGATTCCCTCCTAGGAGTGCTGCATGGCCATTCTTCTTTCCCAAATTGTGTTCATTGAAGAACAGGCGGCTGGAATTGGGAAGAGGTAAGGTCTATATAGCACTGTCTTTATTCACAGAAGATATTTCCTGTCATGCTATTGGTCAAGAGGTCCTATCTTAGACTCAATGATGTGTGAATTCATTCTTAAAGCATGAATAAAGTACCTAGGTTTGCTGTAATATCCTTGTTTATTTTACATGGGTCATAATAAAAAAATGTGGCCCAGTTATCATTGTCTTTCCATAGACAATTTGCTTTCACATGCCTGTGTACCTTTCATTTCATACTTAAAATCAGAAGTAATCTATTGAAAAAAATAACTGACTTTGCTCCTGTTTCTAGCTGATCGTTAAGTTCGTTTCTTAAGTTTGACTTGTTCAGATAGCAGGATTAAATAGCATATAATAATAGTTATTGTACAAAGCAGGACATTTATCAGAATAATGAGGGGTACAATGAACAGTTAGACCAGGGCAACAGGGACACAATTGGAGTGTCCCAGGCAAGCCAGGAGATGAGGCCACCCTAGTATAAAAGCGTAAGTTCAAATGCTCCTGTTTATTCAAATGTACTGAAAACTTGGCTTTATATTTTAAGTACATGTAATTGAGGAGACATGTGAACAAATATTATCGGCATGGGAATTTTTTTTCCTATGGAGGCTTATCTTTAGGTTTAGCAAAATTAGACACTTCAGTAGAAGTTAAACAATGTTGAGCTTCGCTGGACGTGAAATGCATGCCTTGATCATAATGTTATGATTTACTGTAAAATATTTATTTGACATAAAAGAAACTAACCAACATTTTAAAAAGATTAATAAGCCATAGTTTTTTTAAGCCGTAGATTTTTAGGGTAGATTGTTTTTATGATTTATATTTTTCCCTTATCACTTTTCGCCATTGTATTAAGGTTGTTCCAGGTTATTTAATTTTCCTTTCCTGTGTTCCAAGAAAATCTAAACTAAAAGAAATATTTAAAATATTTACCTTCACATTAGTGTTGTATTTTTTAAACATCTCCAGTGAGGAAGACTTCAGTAATATGCCAAGTTAACTTTTCTCAAGTATTCTCTTTAGTTCCCAGCCCCTCCCCTCAATCAGTTACATTTGGTTGGATTTCAGGATGTGTATGTTTCACCTTTTAACATCTCTGAACAAAAGATGCTTCTTTCATTTCATACACAAGGAAATAGGTGGTGTCCTTACAAGGCTGGCGCCACCTATTCATATTGATGAGGCCCAATGCCTGGTGTTTCAATTTTACTGTGATATTTAGGTAACCATGTGGTTCCAAAAAAGTAAAAGTAAAATTGAGTAAATAGTTGTGATGATTAATAAAGAAAAAGCACTAAACTAGGTACCCGGGATGCTTAGAGTTTTTTAGTTTCCCTAATCTTTCTGGAAGATTGCTTATTGACCAGGTTGAAGAAAAAGGAGGAAAACAGACTTATTAAGCTGACCAAATGTAGCGGTATTTTTAGAAGATAATGGTAGTTTGTGTTCTCAGAGCCAAAGCATTTTGGAAATTCTTTTTGTTATTGGATATCTTTCTAGATCATGCCGTTGATTGAGTGGCATTTTCAAACAAATGACACTGTAGAATGTTAGCTTTGGATGGAGTTATAATAAAATATCAGCTGGCCATTTTTACAGACATGTTTTCACATTTTGTTTTCAAATGAATAAGGTTGTATGCTTTGGCAGAAATTATAGGCCCCCTTATAACCTCTGGGGATGTTTGTAGTTGGAAACCCAAAATCATAAACTCAGAATTTTGCAAATTTATTTTGACCATATTTTCTGAAGCAACGCTTTAATTTATGGAACTAGTAACTTGAAGCTTTTTGGTTCATAGCTTGTAAGTTTTAAGTAGAGAGATTTTTGAAAGCTTCATTAATATAGAACTAATACTTTAAAAAGATGCTTTTTGGAATGTTTGTTTCTACATGAATTGTAAAGGTGATTTAAAATATATTAAAAGTTATGAAGGTAGAATCTCTTTTTGAAAGGCAATTCAGTATATTACATTTGTTGTTTCTTCAGTGGCAAAATAGTGGTTCATCTTCACCCAGCTCCTCCTAACAAAGAACCTGGCCCATTCCAGAGTAGTAAGAACTCCTATATCAAACTGTCCTTCAAAGAACATGGCCAGATTGAGGTAAGTTTCTATATGAATAAAATCCTACTATAAAGGTGGTGTGTGTGTGTGTGTGTGTGTGTGTGTGTGTGTGTGTTGTGGCTTGTTAATACGATGGAAGGTAGTATTATACAACATGTCAGATTTCACCACATTTTTACAATAAAATTTTTATTATATCTTAAGCCTTAGCAGTGAATGGTGAAGTTTAGGTTTCATCAGGAATGGGAAGCAGAGGGTGTGGTCCCAAGGAAGGAACAGAGGCTGGAAAATACACTAAGTCATGCCATTCGCCTACTAGCACTAGTTTTCAGTGGCATATTGTAGTTAAAGGAACAGAGTGTAAATGCAGTGATATGTTAAACTGTCTCAGTATCTGAAGGTTCCCCAGCTTTAAATCAGGCTGTCTGTCTTGATTAACTCCAGTTAATCTTAGTCACTTAAGTACTTTTCTGCAGTATGATAGTTTATATGTTCTGAATAAGTTGCTGTACAAGAATTCTTAAGACATTCGAAGTGTGTATTTATTCTCCCCATCAACATCATAAATTATTATTAATTTTTTCTGTAGCACCTCACCCAGTGTTCCTGACAAGTGATCACTAAGCAGATATAAGTGATTGACTAAAGTTTTTGTCATTGAAATTGAAAAATATATTTGATTATTTGTGAGCATAGGTATGTTTTGGTCCTACTTTTTGGTTTTATATTTTAACTAGACAAATTATTCTCTGCTTCCTTCATCGAGAATGGTTGTATATTTTTCCTGGCACTGTGTTTGTTTCATTATAGATCAAAAACAATCCACATACACAGGATTGTTTAAAGTAAGTCTATTGATTTCATTGTCACTCATCTCTTTGTTGAGAATAGCCCACTTTATATAGAAGGTCAGTTCCTTCTCTTTTTTTTTTTTTTCTTTGTGCTTTTCCTTGTATTTTCTTTGATGTCTCTGAGAATTTTGGGCTTGCTGCAAATAACTGAACAAACTTTTATATTAAAGAAATGTTAAGTAATGAGTTATACAAGGATGCAAGGATGCCACAACCTGACTGACTCATTTAAAGTGTATTTATATGCATAACAGTTTTACAGGCGTTTATCAGAGGAAATGACACAGAGAAGATGGGAGAATATGCCAGTTTCCCAGTCACTACAAACAAATAGAGGACCCCAGGTATTTTTTTAACTATTTGGTAATCCAGTATTTTCAACTTTGTACTTACATCTTCATTAAGAAAAAGATTCTGTGCTCGTAGAACTTCCCCAAAACAAAATACTGCAATGGTATTATGATTCAAAAAAAAAAATATTTTCAGCTGGGTGCGGTGGCTCACACCTGTAATCCCAGCACTTTGGGAGGTTGAGGCTGGGCGGATGACAAGGTCAAGAGTTTGAGACCAGCCTGGCCAACATAGTAAAAGCCCATGTCTACTAAAAAATACAAAAATTAGCTGGGCATGGTGATGTGTGCCTGTAATCCCAGCTGCTTGGGAGGCTAAGGCAGGAGAATTGCTTGAACCTGGGAGGCAGAGTTGCAGTGAGCCAAGATCGTGTCATTGCACTCCAGCCTGGGTGACAGGGTGAGACTCTGTCTCAAACAAAAAAAAAAAATTATTTTCACAGCACCTAATTTAGTTCTGTGTAGACAGCAGACACTTAGTAAACAAAATGACTGCTTACCAGCACAAGTCTCAAGGTGATAGAAGGTAGAGTTGACTCATTGCATTCTGTTCTTCATAATCAGTGTGGCATTTGAGAGAATAAACAGTACAGCTGGGTGTTTTCCAGGACTGTCTAAATTTATCGCCAACATCAGACAGGTAATCAAATATATGAAAGTAGCTTGGAATAATAACTGTTAATTAAGAACCAAAATTTAAACTGTGATTTTTTTTTTTTTGTATGTTTGACACCCTATGAAGTATCTGGCTGGGCGCTATGGCTCACGCCTGTAATCCCAGCCCTCTTAGGGAGGCAGAGGTGAGAAGGTAGCTTGAGCCCAGGAGTTTGAGACCTGCCTGTGCAATATAGTGAGACCCTGTTCTCCATAAAAAGGAAAAAAACAAAAAGACAAAAAAGACAAACAAACAAATAAGGGTATCTGATACATCAAAGCTCATCAAAGAATAAAAATGATAGGAAATTTAACTTATATCTAAAATGCTTAGTAAAATATGCCATTTATTGTATATTTGGTTTTTCTTGAATGATTTGAAGATCATTATGTACAGAAGAAAGAAACAAATGTTTTGAAAGGAAGTTAAATGTGAGTGTATGCTGTTTTTCTTTGGTTCTTTGTGGGTCCTTTACCACTATTGAAAACAATGTAGTCGGTTACAAAAGATTTTGTTTCCTTCCTATTTTGCATGTTTTATTTTCTACTTCTTTTTTTTTTTTTTTTTTCAGCCAGGAAGAATAAGGGCTGTAGGAATTGTAGGTATTGAAAGGAAGCTGGAAGAAAAAAGAAAAGAAACTGACAAAAACATTTCTGAGGTAACTGTTAAGTTCTGGCTCTCCATATATTCCAGCCGTTTGTGTGTATTCTTTTGGATAGAGCTGTGACTAATTCCCTTCTGTAAGTTAGAATATATTTCATTTGCCTGAAGCTACGTAGTCTCCTATTCTCTTTAACAGGTCTACCTCCGGCTGGCAAAATCTAACCAAAACCTTTTTCTAAAAGGAATAAAAAAGAAATGCAAATTTGTTTGCTGTTAGAAAACACATCATAGAAGGTTATGTGTAGATTTTAAAGTCTAGATGAAATTGATTGGGATACTCCTAATGAGCTTCAGGGTTCCTCTTTATAATTATTTTGGAAGTTGAGGTAACTTAGTTAAGAGAAAAATGCTGTTCTGTGGCCACTATCTGTGGCCAGATACCACACCGGTTTATGTTGATGACCACTTAGGGATCAGACACGAGACATCAGTAAGAATGGCTCAAACCAGCCCATCACGTATACTAGAAGACAACCTTGAGCATGTACCTTCCAGTGTTTCTGAGGCTTCATCATGTATGAGGAAATTCAAGAGAAGGGGAAAGAACTGTAGTTAAAAAGACAGTTATGCATTGGATTAGTTAATACAGCTAAACATGGCATTGGTTTTTCCATGTTTATATAAAAATGGTCTTGGTTTTTTTCACAAAATGATGCTTTAAAGTAAATCTTTTATAGTAATTCATAAGTAAAATGCCATTGATGGTTGCTGTTCAGAGAATTTCAAAGATTTATGTCAATCAAGTAAAGTCTAAAACTACAAATAGTTATTTGAATACTTATTTGGGGCTCACTAATTGAAAATATACTGGGTGGGCACAGTGGCTCAAACCTGTAATCCCAGCACTTTGGGAGGCCGAGGTGGGTGGATTACGAGGTCAAGAGATCGAAACCATCCTCGTCAACATAGTGAAACCCTGTCTCTACTAAAAATACAAAAAATTAGCTGGGCACGCTGGTGCGTGCCTGTAATCCCAGCTACCCAGGAGGCTAAGCCAGGAGAATTTCCTGAACCCAGGAGGCGGAGGTTGCAGTGAGCTGATATCGCGCCATTGCACTCCAGCCTGGTTAACAAGAGCGAAACTCCGTCTCAAAAAAAAGAATGAAAAAAATATATAGATTATTTTCTTTTTTATAGATATATTCTCTTTTATAGATATATTCTCTGTTGGAGAACCAAGGGCATTTGACCTATTATTAAGTGCCCATAGTAGGTTTTTCTGGTTGTGTATCTATGGTGAAGCTGTGCGTTTTCCTTCTCCAAATTGGCAGCTGGATGCAGATTCTCTATCACGCTCATGTTCTGTCCCTTTGGCAACACTAGAGGTGATGCTGTGTTCTTTTGTCGGAGGCACACATCTTATCTCTGTCACATTAGCAGCTGTTAATATTCAGTGCCTAGATCTATTAGTTCATTGGTGGTGGTAAATAGTGATGAGTCTGTGTTTATTTTTCACTTATTAGTTGGAATACTTTTTAAAAGATATGTTTCCCTTTATCTGCTGTTTGGTTGTCCCGTTCATATAGGAAAGGCAGGATAATTGCATTTTCCTTTATCATCAGGGTAATAAATTATTTCCTTATTATCTTCTGACGAATTAGGCTAATCTAACTAATTAGGTTTTTTTAACATGTCATTATGAATTCATGAAGCTTGGCATATTTGATGGATTTCAATCAATTACAGTTATCGTATTTGAAGCTCAAATTGTCCCATCTTTGGCTAGTGGGAGCTGCTTCAAGTCGACCCTCTGAGTGCTTTTGTTGTGACTTGGTGAACTTTGCTAGCTTCTTCATGATCTGATGTGACAACAGTTCCAGGACCAGCTTGTAAATTTCCTGCTCCAGATCTGGAATCCACCATTTATCTGAGAAGCTCTGGTTTCTTTTAGTGTGAAATGGTATTTTAGAACCACACTCTGCCTGCTAGTCATATCCATGACTATTGAGTTGATCTTTGTTTCTAGGCTTTTTCAATGGCAGAGCTAGAATTTTGTCCTTGTCAATATAAAGTGCCTAACGAGAGCATATTTATCTTTTCTATTCAAATTTAGGATGACACTACCGAATAATTACTAGAACAGTTGTTTTTTTTTTTTTGAGACGGAGTTTTGCTGTTGTTACCCAGACTGGAGTGCAAGGCACGATCTCGGCTCACTGCAACCTCCGCCTTCTGGGTTCAAGCAATTCTCCTGCCTCACCCTCCCGAGTAGCTGGGGTTACAGGCAGGCGCCACCATGCCCAGCTAATTTTTGTATTTTTAGTAGAGACAGGGTTTCACCTCGTTGACCAGGTTGGTCTCGATCTCTTGACCTCGTAATCCACCTGCCTCAGCCTCCAAAAGTGCTGGGATTATAGGCATGAGCCACCGCGCCTGGCTAGAACAGTTTTTTAAAAAATTGTATATGTGTTTTCCCCATTCTTCGTACATTTGAAAAATAGGTGTACTGTATTTACACAATCTGAGCCTGCAGCCACTACATATACTTCCCCCCAGCTCCAGCTCTCATTGAGTCTTAGTTTTACGTAGCTCTATGTTTAGTGCCAACAGTCCTATGCTGAGCTCTCTGTAGTCACTTTGGTTGTCTGAAGCTCATTTGGTAGTAGATTTTTTAGGAAATGATCATAGAACAACCCTGTATCTGTCATGTTTGTCTTCCTTAGACATGAAGATTAGTTTTGTTGGATTTTAAATCCTTGGCTCCCATTTTCCTTTGAGTGCCTGCATTATATTACTTTCTTTTTTTTCCTTTGGTCTGGCACGAAGTGTTGCTGTCAAAGAGTGAAGATAACCTGATTTTTTCCCCTTAAAAGCCACTTGCTGTTTTTCCTAGATGGGCAAAGGGTTTTTAAATTTTACTTTAAAGCCTGGTAATTTTGCTAGAATGTGTCTGTGTATTAGTGATTCTGAGTTGTTATTCTTAGGTATATGCTGTGCTTTTTCAGTATATAGTTTCATTTCAGGAATGTTTTAACTTCAGGGAATTTTTCTGTATTATAATTTCTCTTCTTTTTTACGACAGAGTCTCATTCTGTTTCCCAAGCTGGAGTGCAGCGGTGCAATCTCAGCTGACTGCAACCTTTGCCTCCCAGGTTCAAGCAATTCTTCTGCCTCAGCTTCGCAAGTAGCTGGGATTACAGGGACGTGCCACCACATCCGGCTAATTTTTTATAATTTTAGTTGAAATGGGGTTTCATCATATTGGCCAGGCTGGTCTCAAACTCTTGACCTCGTGATCCACTCGCCTTGGCCTCCCAAAGTACTGGGACGCCCAGCCTATAATTTTCAATAATTGCTTTGATTCTTTTCTTCTGAGACTCCCATTAGCTGTATGTTGCAGTTTCACTGCCTGTCTTCACTATTTGTGACACTAATGCTTTTCCTTTCTTTTTTATTTAGAAAGTTTTCCTCTTTTTTACCTTTCTTTGAAGGTTTTATCTGTTGTGTTTATTCACTCATGTCTGTCTAGTGTAGCCTTTATTCTGAAATGATTTTTTCCTTTATTTTTATTCTTTCTGAATCCTGTCATCTGTTTCTGATTTATATTGATCCTTCATAGCTTGTATCATCTTCTTAACATCTTTTAGCTTATTTTGAAATAAAAGGTTGATAGTAGGCCTTTCTATTATTGAAGTAGGCAAAACCCTCCCCATTTTAGGCACTGTCCTCAAATTGGCCTGCCTTGCTTTCTGGTGAATCCCTATTGGCCCTCTTGGGGCTCTCTCATTCTCAGGTGTGTGGTTACATTGTTGCTTTTCTTTTCTTTCTACTACCTAGATGCTAGCATCCTGCAGGTCTTATGGCTCTTAGCAGTTTGCCCCACCTGCTTCTATCTTTGGGGAGTTTTGCTAGTATTCTAACACTTAGTATTATAGTGTATGTTACCTATGGGGTTTTTGGTTTTGAGATCTAGTTGCCCTGTCTGATTTCATGTTGTGAACTGGAGAGATTGAAAAACGGTGCTGCCATAGCCACCATCTTTTCAGAATCGTCTATTCTAAGAAGATTGATAAAATTTCAACATTTTAGCATTAGAAGGCTCCTTATTATTCAGAGAAGAAATTGTCTCAGAGTGAGTGACTAGATTTGGAAGGAAGCAGAGGAGAGTCCATGTCTCCTGGTTTGCAGGCAGTTGCTGGTGATGACAGTGCACCACATCATCACTGCTCTCTTCGCCACCTAGAAGGTGCTGTCACCATCTTTCAGCAGTGTCTGTCACCGACCTCTTTATGTCAACACTTTTGGAGATGGCATGGAGCAGTGGGCTAATTTTCCGTTATTTGTATTTTTCTTTCTGAATAGTGCCATTCTAACTCAATGGTTTGTTGAAAATAATGTTTTTCTTAATTTATAAAGTAAGTTATTTTGTTTCGGTCTAATTTTCTTGGAGTCGCATAGCTCAAAGGATTCTACATAAGCATTGTGCTCCACCATACAGATCATTAATTTAATCATGCAGATCATTAATTTATTTAGCAGTGTTCCTCCCTACTTTGTGCCAGGCCTTGTATCAGAGGCTGTGGATACTGGGGTGATGCACAGACACAGACGGGCAAAGAGGCATTATTCAGTGAGAGAGGGAAACACCATTTCGAGGCGAACATACAGGCTGCAGCAGGGACATATAACATGATCCCTAACTTCTTTTGAGGTCATCGAGGGCATGTTAGCAGCAGGAATATGGAAGTCAAATGTTGAAAGGTGAATAGGCTTTAGCAGATGACTAGCATGGATAAGAACCCAGGAAAAGGGAATGGAAGATGCAAGGCACATTCGAGAGTACCAAAATGGAAAATCAAGAATACATTGTTACTGATGCTAATAGCCAAAGTGATAACTAAAAATAAGTAAGAAATCGTGCCATAAGTTAGCTTAGGAGGGTACTCCTGGTTTTAAAACAGGTGCGGTTTTTGTCAGAATTGAAGTGGAAATTTGACCATAGTTGTGGTAGAGGGATGCAAGGTTCCGTAAACTGGCAGATACAATTATCGAATGGCTATGTGTGTCTCTTTTGCTTTAATTTTTATTGTAGGTAGTTTCTTGACCCATTTTTTAATAGTTGACTAATTCCAAATTTTACAATAATTATAGAAATAGAAGTGAGGAAGCTTTTCTCTGGGTTTAATAATCACTTAAAATATTTATAGACTTTAAGGCACTAAAATATTTACTGTATTTTTTTATTGCCTGTGTATAAGTTTAAAGGGCTTATTTATATATTCTTTGTCCACCCACTATTAACTTAGCATATTTTTTCTACAGCAACATAATATAATAAATACAGTGATTTACCATATAACATTTAAAAGTGTTGTCTTACCAGTTTTCTTAACACAGATAAAAGAAATCTGTTAATGTCTTATGTATTAAAAGGAAAAATCTGTGTTCAAAATGTGTGTTTAATTTTTGAAAACTATGTTGGTGTGTGATTTACCCTCTGTTTAAATGTTAGAATTGACTTAGTTTCAGAGCTGGTGCCCAGAGTTTCTCATAAAGGGTTTCCTGCATCTGCCTGCTCTAGCTGATAAGAATCCAGTGTTTAAGCCTTTTGTATATGTAAGGAAATTTCTGTTAGGTGTGTGCACATTCCCCTTTGTTTTCAGTATTTAGTGAGTTGGCCTTAAGAATACACAACATGCTATTCTTTTAGCCAAATCCTTTTGCAGATGGGGGACACTTTCCTGCAGATGGGCATAAGCTGATCAGAGCCACTATTATATGTTTCAGACCACCATGTGGACTGGTATTTCAGTGAATGGCATGCTGCTTAATTGGTTTTAAAAAGTAACATCTGTATGCATCAATTAGATAAGATATTCTGCACTGGCAGTATATTTTCAGTAAATTGAAATAATTTATTATAAATATAATTAAATTTGAAAAGGCCTTTCAAGTAGTTATTTGCTGTAGCAAATTACACAATTGATTCTATGTAGATACCTTTAGATGGTATTTAAATGTTTCTCTTTTGTGATAGCCACTATATCTACAACTATAAAGGGGTTGATAGTCAGAGGCTGGACTTAACTGTTTGAGTTAAATCACACCTGTGTTAAAGCCAAAATTATTGTGCCCAAAGAACTATTCCTGCAGCTGTGTATTGCAGTTTTCAACCAGGAAAGCTTTATAGTGCTTTTGATTCTTGACTTCCTATTAGGAAATAATTTTAGGAAAAACCAGTGACAGAATTTCTTACTTTTGTCAAATAACAGTAAATAATATTTTCTGAACTATAGTTTATGTCACCTTTTGTTTGTTTAATCAATAATAATTATTTTCTCTTTGAAAATGTGAAATTTTTTTACAGCTTGTTTGGAAAATTAATGGGTTTTTGTTGTTGTTGTTGTTGTTGTTTTTGAGGCGGACTTTCACTCTTGTTGCCCAGGCTGCAGTGCAATGGCACGATCCTGGCTCACTGCAACCTTCACCTCCCAGGTTAAAGCAATTCTTCTGCCTCAGCCTCTGGAGCAGCTGGGATTATAGGCATGCGCCAACATGCCCAGCTAAGTTTTTTGTATTTTTTTTTTTTCTTAGCAGAGATGGGAGTTTTTCCATGTTGGTCAGGCTGGTCTCAAACTCCTAACCTCAGGTGATCTGCCTGCCTTGGCCTCCCAAAGTTCTGAGATTACAGGCATGAGCTGCTGCTCCTGGTCCTAAATTTATGGTTTTTAGCTAAAATGAAATTTTAGAATAAGGTAGATGTATTACTTTATAAATATTTATTAACAAATTGATATTTGTAAGAAAATTTCAAATTTTTATCATAGGGAAAAAATAGAGGGTACTTCATTGCTTTAAGTCATTTTAATTCTTTAGATGGATTTCAACAAAAATTAATTTCTCATTTCAGGCCTTTGAAGACCTCAGCAAACTAATGATCAAGGTATATGTCATTTATGCCTATTAAATTCATACCAATTATAATACAGTTTTTGAAACATTTTATTAGCAGACATTTTGGGGACAATATTGCTTTTCAGTCTTTTTATTTGACAGGCTAAGGAAATGGTGGAGTTATCAAAATCAATTGCTAATAAAATTAAAGACAAACAAGGTGACATCACAGAAGATGAGGTAAATAAGTTGCTTTTTTTAAAGGCATTTGGAACAATATGACACAAATAATGCAGTGAGGTTTCTGTGGTTTACATTGGCTTTCTGAATGTACTGTTTTATTTCTTTTGGGACTTGGGGATATGTTAAAGTACTAAAAGTCAATCATAAAAATTCTCTTAGTTCTATTAGGATTAAAGGCTATTTCAATGCCTTTTTTGGAGTGTAGAAAACAGAGATACTGAAATGTATAAGGAGTGGCTGTTTTATACATATTCCTAAGTTTGATGTTTGTTTCATTCAGATTGTCTACAGTCTAATCACTGCCATTTTTCTAAGTTTTCCATTGTACTATTTGGTTGGCGTTATATATAGCACAGTTGTTATCAGAATCTCCTCTCACATCAAATTTATTAAATAAATAGAGTATGAGAGACCACGAGAGAAGTAGGATGGAGAATAATTAGATGTATGTAGGGAACTCCTGGAAATCTGTTCCCTTACAGTTCACAGCATAGAAACATAGTAGAAGGAATGGGTAAACGTAGAAATAGTTGAATGGAATTGAATGTATGATGGAATTTCAGATACTGGGGTAGACAGACTAATTCTGCATTTTCTCCTCTGTTATTATAGACCATCAGGTTTAAATCCTACTTACTGAGCATGGGAATAGCTAACCCAGTTACGAGAGAAACCTACGGCTCAGGCACACAGTACCACATGCAGCTGGCCAAACAGCTGGCTGGAATATTGCAGGCGCCTTTAGAGGTAAAAACTAAACCTACGTGTCTTTTTAAACTGTGTTAAATTAGCCCTATGTCATCAGAAATGTTAACAAGAGCATAACTCCTTTCATGATATGGTTATTGTCAACTGACATTTTTTTTCCTTTCAGGCATATTAAATTAGTTCACTGTGCTTATTATTCCTTGTCTGTAATTTTCTAAATTGCGTTTAATTTTCATTTTTGACATCTATAACTTTGTAAATGTATTTGATATGAAGTTTTCCTTATTTTTCAAAGGAAATATATGATCTTCCTTTGTAAAGATAAATTTCACCTATCTAGTCTTTACTATATAGTACTATTAATCATTGCATAACACAGATTCATCTTTTTTTTTTCAATTCCAGTGTACAGGGAACATTTGTTATGCTGAGCCATAAAGCACGCATAAAGTTTCCAAAGGTTTACAATCATACAGATTGTATTCTCTGAAACAGTAAAATTCAGCTAAGTATCAATGACAGTTAACTGGAAAACCCTGAACTGTTATTAAATTAAGCAATATAATTCTAAATACATCAGAGCTCAAATAGGAACTTGTAATGGAAACTAGAAAGTATTTTGAACTGAATAATAATGAAAATATAATATTAAAACCCATAGCTTCTACTGAAGCTGTGCCTACAGAGAATTTTACAGCTTTAAAATGCATACTATTAGAAAATAAGGAAGGTTGAAATGAAGACTCTAAATATTTACCTAAAAAAACTAGAAACAATCCAGCAAAATAATCTACAACAGCAGAAGGAAGTAAATAATAAATGTAAGAAAAACTAATTAAATAGAAAACAAATGCACAATAGAGAGAAACAACAGAACCAAAAGTGGAATCTTAGAAAACAGTAATAAATTTGACAGATCTCTAGCAAATAAATCAAAGGGAAAGCAAGAAAGAGGGAGATAACATGAGCAAATGAGAGCAAGCAAGCACACAATTCCAACATCAGAAATGAAAAAGGAACATTTCTACAGATTTTGCAGGCATGAAAAATATAAGAAGATGATATTAAACGCAACCTGCCAATGTTGTGTAGACTCAAGGCTACTAAACAAGTTCCTTCTGTAATTTAAAATCTTCCCATAAAGAAGTATTCAGGCCCAGATAACCTTGTGGGTGAATTCTTTCAAATATTTAAGGAAGAGGTAATACTAATCTTACACAACTTCTTCAGAGAGTAGAACAAGGTAGGCCGGGTGCGGTGGCTCATGCCTGTAATCCCAGCACTTTGGGAGGCTGAGGCAGGTGGATCACGAGGTCAACAAATTGAGACCATCCTGGTCAACATGGTGAAACCCCGTCTCTACTAAAAATATAAAAAATTAGCTGGGCATGGTGGCGCGTGCCTGTAATCCCAGCTACTCAGGAGGCTGAGGCAGGAAATTGCCTGAAACCAAGAGGCGGAGGTTGCGGTGAGCTGATATCGTGCCATTGCACTCCAGCCTGGGTGACAAGAGCAAAACTCTGTCTCAAAAAGAAAAAAAGGTAGAATACTTCTAATTAATTTTAAGAGGATAGCATTACCTTAGGACCAAAGTTTGAAAATGAAATATAAGAAATGCAAATTATAGGCCAATCTCTTTCAAAACCAGAAATATAAGAATTCTAAACAAAATGTTAGCAAATTGAATTTATCAATATATAAAAAGACCAAATGCCCACCAATGATAGACTGGACAAAGAAAATGTGGCAGATCTACACAATGGAATACTATGCAGCCACAAAAAATGACGAGTTCATGTTTTTTGTAGCTACATGGATGAATCTAGAAACCATCCCTCTCAGCAAACCAACACAAGAACAGAAAACAAAACACCGCATGTTCTCTCTCATAGGTGGGTGAACAATGAGAACACTTGGGCACAGGAAAGGGAACAACACTCACAGGGATAGGTTGGGGGAAGGGGATGGGTGGGAAGGGACTGGGGAGACAGGGAGGGACAACACCAGGAGAAATGCCTGATGTAGGCAATGAGAGGGTGGTGGAGACAGCAGACCACCATGGCATGTATATACCTATGCAAATATCTGCAGGATGCAGGAAGTACACAGTGTACACCAGAGCCCAAAGTATAACAACAACAAAAAAGACCCCAATAATCATGACCAAATTGGCTTTTGTTGAGGTTGGTTTGACATTTGAAAGTTAATCAGTGTAACTCATCACATTAACAGAAAAACAGGAAATCATATGACCTACTTATTGGATACAGAAAAAGTAGTTGATAGTGCAAAGGACCAGTTGTGATGAAAACTCGTAGCAAACTCAGAATGGAAAGAATTTCTTTTAACAGATTCATCTTCTAGTCTGATAGTATTTAGGCAATCAAAAGTTTATTAAAGCACTTGTATTAAAAAAGATTTCAAACCTATGACAAATAGAATAGTATAATGAATCCTCTGTGCCCATCATCCAGCTTCTTCTGTAAACCAGCCTCCACTCGAAATTATTTTAAAGCAAATCCCAGACATCACATCACTTTATCTGTGAACATTTCAGTATGTAACTCTAATGATAAAGACTCTTTAAATACAAGTATAATCTCATTTCATAATAGAAAAAATTAAAGTAATTTTCTTAACATTTTCTAATATCTAGTGTTCACATTTTCTTTCTTTCTTTCTTTTTTGTTTTTTGAGATGGACCCTCACTCTTGTTGCCCAGGCTGGAGTGCAATGGTGTGATCTCGGCTCACTGCAACCTCCGCCTCCTGAGTTCAAGCAATTCTCCTGCCTCAGCCTCCTGAGTAGCTGGGATTACAGGTGCCTGGCACCATGCCCAGCTAACTTCTTTGTATTTTTAGTACAGACAGGATTTTACCATGTTGGCCAGGCTGGTGTCAAACTCCTGACTTCAGGTGATCCACTTGCTTCGGCCTCCCAAATTGCTGGGATTGCAGGCGTGAGCCATCGGACCTAGCCTAGTTTTCACATTTTCTCTTACAGTTGGTCTGTTCCAATCAGGATTCATTGTAGTTTGTTGATTTGTTTCTCAAGTTTGTTTGCTCGTTTTTTTTTGTTTTTTGGTGTTTTTTTTCTTGAGACTGAGTTTCGCTCTGTCACCCAGGCTGGAGTGCAATGGAGCGATCTTGGCTCACCACAACCTCCGCCTCCTGGGTTCAGGCAATTCTCCTGCCTCAGCCTCCTGAGTAGCTGGGACTACAGGTACGCACCACCATGCCCAGCTAATTTTTTTGTATTTTTAGTAGAGACGGGGTTTCACCATGTTGACCAGGATGGTCTCAATCTCTTGACCTCGTGATCCACCCGCCTCGGTCTCCCAAAGTGCTGGGATTACAGGTGTGAGCCACTGCGCCCAGCCCTGTTTGCTCATTTTTGATTTCATGGGTTCTTTCTTTTCCTGCCTCTTATCTTCCCCCCCCGCACTCTGTGTTTCTTGAAGAAATTATTCTGTAGCGTGTGCTTTTCCTGTTCAGTGTATTTCCTATAAACTGGTATTTATAATAAAGGTATGTTAGGGTTTTAAACAATTATTATTGCAAGACTATTTCATAGAAGCTGTTGTATACTTCCACCAAGAGATATATATAATGTCTGATTCTTTTTTAAATTTTTAAAAAATTTGTTATGATGTTAACAGCCATTGACAGTTATTACCTAGATCTGTTATTTCATTGGGGGTTGGAAAATGGTGATGGTCTTATTAATTCTATGCTTTCTTCATTTATTGACTGAAATAAGTTAAAACTTCTAAATGTATTTTTTTGAAACATGGTGTAGAGACCCTTTTTTTCATTTAAGTAAATGTTAAAATGGTAATGAGGCCAGGCACAGTGGCTGCACGCATGTAATCCCAGCACGTTGGGAAGGCTGAGGCAGACAGATCATTTGAGGTCAGGAGTTCAAGACCAGCCTGACCGACATGGTGAAACCCTCTCTCTACTAAAAATACAAAAAAAATTGTCAGGTGTGGTGGTGTATGTCTGTAGTCACAGCTACTCGGGAGGCTGAGGCAGGAGAATTGCTTCAACCTGAGAGGTGGAGAGGTTGCAGTGAGCTGAAATCCCGCCACTGCACTCCAGCCTGGGAGACAAAACAAGAGTCTGTCTCAAAAAATAAAAATAAAAATAAAATGGTAATGACATTAAAGTACAAGTAGGGAATCTGAACTGCCTTGTGGTATCCGAATAGGTTCTCCTTTGTGTGAATACAGTTTTTATAAGCTTCTTAAAGAAATTTCAGATTTCTGATTTCCCTGTGATTATGATTCCTGTTAAGAAATGCTAACCGGTGTAATTGTAACATAATGCTTTTTAAAAATTTCGTATTTTAACAGGAACGAGGGGGAATAATGTCACTCACAGAGGTGTACTGCTTAGTAAACCGAGCTCGAGGAATGGAACTAAGAATAGAAAATTTAAATATTCTTTTAGCTAAATATAGACTTTCTTACTACAAATTCTGAATACAATTTGAGGAAGGATTGTGAATATCAAAGCTATTTTGAGACGCACTGTGGTACAGTGAAAAGAATACTGCCTTGGGATCCAGGAGGCAGATTGTTTTCCTGGTTTCAATAGTGATTTGCTTAGTGAGCTTCAGTAGCTTATTTAACATCTCTGAGACTCAGTTTTCCTTCTTTTTTGGGGGGGGTCAGGAGTTCAAAACTTTTTATATTTTTCTTTATAATTGTAACAATAATTGTACATAGTCGTGCCATGTGGTGTTTCAGTGCACGTATACATTTTATAATGATCGAATCAGGGTATATTAGTCCATTTTTATGCTGCTGATAAGACATACCCAAGACTGGGCAATTTTCAAAAGAAAGAGGTTTAATTGGACTCACAGTTGCACATAGCTAGGAAGGCCTCACAATCAGGAGGAGCAAGTCGCAGCTTATGTGGAAGGCAGCAGGCAAGGAGAATTGTGCATGACAACTGTTTTTAAAATGATCAGATCTCATGAGACCCATTCACTATCAACAGAACAGCGCAGGAAAGACCAGCCCCCATAATTCAGTCATCTTCCTTGAGGTCCCTCCCACAATATGTGGGAATTATGGCAGCTACAAAATGAGATTTGGGTGGGGACATAGATTCAAACCATATCACAGGACAATTAACATATTCATCATTGAAACATTTATCATTTATTTGTGGTAATAATATTCAAAATAAATCTCTCTCTGTCTGTAATATGCAATCACAGAAAAGAACAAAATAATTCTTTTTTTTTTTTGAGACAGAGTCTTGCTCTGTTGCAAGGCTGGAGCGTAGTGGTGCCATCTTGGCTCACTGCAACCTCTGCTTCCTGGGTTCAAGCAATTCTCCTGTCTCAGCTCCCCAAGTAGCTGGGATTACAGGCTTGCGCCACCATGCCCAGCTAATTTTTTTATTTTTAGTAGAGACAGGGTTTCACCATATTGGCCAGGATGCTCTTAATCTCTTGACATTGTTATCTGCCTGCCTTGGCCTCCAAAGTGCTGGGAACGTGAGCCACCGTGCCCGGCCAAGATAATTCTTTTGTGGGAACATGGGTGGAGCTGGAGGTTATTATCCTTAGCAAACTAGTGCAGGAACAGAAAGCCAAATACCCATATTCTCACTTATAAGTAGTAGCTAAATGATGAGAACCTATGCACACAAAGAAGCAAACAGCAAATATTAGAGTATACTTGAAGATGGAGACTTTAGGGGTGGGAGAGGAACAAAACAGATAACTATTGGGTTATTGGGTACTGGGCTTAGTATTAATACCTAGGTGATAAAATAATCTGTACAACAAACCCTAGTGACATGACTTTTTTGTGTAACAAACTTTCACATGTATCCCCAATCTGAAATAAACGTTTTTTTAAAAAAACAAAGAATCAACCTAAGTGTCCATCAATGGATGAATGGATAAAGAAAATGTCAGATACATACAAATGGAATACAATTCAGTCATTAAAAAAAAGAATGAAATCACATTATTTTCAGCAACATGGAGAAACTGGAAGTCACTATATTAAGTGAAGTAAGCCAGACACTTAAAGACAAATAGCGTGTGTTCCCACTCATTCTAATGGAGGTAGAGAATAGATGATAGGTATCAGAGACTGGGAAAGGTATATAAGTGGGAGTGGGGAAGAAAGAAGAAAGGTTGGTTAATGGGTACAAACATACTGTTAGATAAGTTCTGATATTCAATAGCAGAGGAGGGAAGCAGCAATATATTGTATATTTCAAAGTAGCCAGAAGGGAGGACTTGAAATGTTCCTAACACATAGACACGATAAAAACTTGAGGTAATAAGTACCCCAAATACCCTGACTTGATCATTACACATTTTATGCATGTGTATTAATACAAATAACCCCTATACCCCATTAATATGTAAAATATTATGTATCAGTAAAAAGTCCTCAGGGCTGGGCTCGGTGGCTCATGCCTGTATTCCCAGCACTTTGGGAGGCCGAGGCGGGAGCTTTGCCTGAGGTCAAGAGTTCAAGACCAGTCTGGCCAATATGGTGAAACCCGGTCTCTACTTAAAATACAAAAAAAATTAGCTGGGAGTGGTGGTGTGTTCCTGTAATCCCAGCTACTCAGGAGGCTGAGGCAGGGGAATTGCTTGAACCAGGGAGGTGGAGGTTGCAGTGAGCTGAGATTGCGCCAGTGCACTCCAGCCTGGGAGACAGAGCAAGACTCCATCTCAAAGAAAAACAAAAACAAAAACAAAAAAACGATGGTATTCAGAAACAGAAAAAAAAAGAAATATACATCGCATTGTCATTATCTAGTCACCCTGTGTAATATAGCAACAGAACTCATGCTTCCTAACTGTAACTTTCTTTCTGTTGACTATCTCTCTCCATCCCCTTCTCCTGCCTACCCTCCCCAGTCTCTGGTAGCCACTCTTCTACTCGCTACTTCTATGAGATCAACTTCTTTTAGAGTCTACATATAAGTGAGATCAAGTCGTGTTTGTCTTGCTATGTCTGGCTTATTTCACTTAATGTAATATCCTCCAGGTTCATCCATGTTGCTGCACATGACAGGATTTTATTATGTTTTGTGCTGAATGTATTTCATTGTATATATATATACCTCTTTTTTTTTAATCTTTTATTTTTTGTTTTGTAATTTTGAGACAGAGTATCACTCTGTAGAGCATAACAGCACAATCTTTGCTCACTGAAACATCTGCCTCCTGGGTTCAAGCAATTCTTGTGCTTCAGCTTCTCAAGTAGCTGGGATTACAGGGGTGCACCACCACACCAGGAGAATTTTCATACTTTAAGTAGAGACAGGGTTCTGACCATGTTAGCCAAGCTGCTCTTGAACTCCTGACCTCAGGTGATCTACCCACTGCAGGCCTCCCAAACAAAGTGCTGGGATTACAGGCATGAGCCACCAGGCCTGGCCCCCCAAATTTTTATTTTGTATTTTTATGGATACATAATAGTTGTAGATATTTATGGGGTACATGTGAAATTTTGATACAAGCATATAATGTGTAATGAACCAAATCAGGGAAATTGAGGGTCTGTCACCTCCAGTATTTATCACTTCTTTGTGTTAGGAGCATTCGATTTCCACTTTTCTTGTTAGTTTAAAATATACAGTACGGCCAGAGGTGGTGGCTCACGCCTGTAGTTTCCGCACTGTGGGAGGCCAAAGTGGGCAGATCACCTGAGGTCAGGAGTTCAAGACCACCCTAGCCAACATGGCAAAACTCTGTCTCTACTAAAAATACAAAAATTAGCTGGGTATGGTTGGGGGGCACCTGTAATTCCAGCTACTTGGGAGTGACTAAGGCAGTAGAATTGCTTGAACCTGTGGGGTGGAGTTTGCAGTGAGCTGAGATTGTGCCACTGTACTCCAGCCTGGGCAGTAGAGCTAGACTCCATCTCAACAAATAAATTAAAAAAAAAAAAAAGAAATATATAGGTCAGGCACGGTGGTTCACGCCTGTAATCCCAGCACTTTCTGAGGCCAAAGCAGGCAGATTATGAGGTCAGGAGATCAAGACCATCCTGGCTAACATGGTGAAATTCCATCTCTAGTAAAAATACAAAATATTAGTCAGGCATGGTGGCATGCGCCTGTAGTCCCAGCTGTTTGGGAGGTTGAGGCAGGAGAATTGCTTCAACCCAGGAGGCGGAGGTTGCAGTGAGCTGAGATTGCACCACTGCACTCCAGCCTGGGTGAAAGAATGCAAGACTTTGTCTCCAAAAAAATAAATAAATAAAATAACATACAATACATTATTGTTAACTATAATTACCCTATTGTACTACTGAATGCTAAATCTTATTCCTCTGTCACCTTTTTTTTTTTTTTTTTGAGACAGAGTCTTACTCTTGTTGCCCAGGCTGGAGTGCAGTGGTGCAATCTCGGCTCAGTGCAACCTCCCCCTCCCGGTTTAAGCAATTCTCCTACCTTAGACTCCCGAGTAGCTGGGATTATAGGCACCCACCACCATGCCTGGGTAATTTTTGTATTTTTAGTAGAGATGAGGTTTCACCACGTTGTATATGATAAAGCATATAATGTTATCTGTCTACCATCAGCCTCCCAAAGTGCTGGGATTACAGGCTTGAGCCACTGCGTCTGGCCTCTTATTCCTTCTAATTGTATTTTTGTACCCATTAAGCCAACCTCTCTTCATCCCTCCTTCCCCACTATTCTTCCTACCCTCTAGTAACCATTTTTCTACTCTCTATCTGCATGAGATCCATTTTTTAACTCCCACATATGAGTGAGAACATGGGATATTTGTCTTTTTGTGCTAGCTTACTCCACTTAACAGTGTCTTCCAGTTCCATCCCTGTTGTTGCAAATGATGTCGGCTATGGTGAATAGCTGCTGCAATAAACATGGGAGTGCAGATTTCTCTTCCATATACTCCTTTCCTTTCTTTTGGATGTATACCCAGCAGTAGGATTGCTGGGTCTTATGATAGTTGTTTTCAGTTTTTTGAGAAATCGCCATACTGTTTTCCATAATGGCTGCACTAATTTACCTTCCCACCAACAGTGTGTCAGAGTTCCTTTCTCCACGTCCTTGCCAGCATTTAGGGACCCAGTTTTCTTACTTTTAATATCAGGATTTCGACTGAGTGAAACTGTTCAGCTCTAATATTTTCTGTTTTTATTGTGATAAATAAGGTTGTTCAGGAAGGCCTTCCTTTGCAATAGTTAACTCCTCTAATCAACTTGGTTGGAACAAGTTGCCTTGTAGATAATGCAGAGGGAAAGCTGCCCCACCCCTTTGGCTGTGTATCAGCAGTGGCTATTCTTCAGCTGCCCTTGCTCCTTTATGTCCAGGTGTCCTTGGCCTCCAAGACTGTCCAGGTACTCTTTGTGCCCAAACAGTTACCTCCATGCAAATGGCTCACCCAGTCCCATGAGTTAAGCCCTGCTCTGTGTTTTTATCTGAATACTGATCATAGCTGCCATCAGTGAGTACTTACCATCCAATGGACACTCTGCACATACACGTTTATCCTCCCAATAACTCAGTGACATGGCTGCTCTTACTGTCCCATGTAGGGGATAATTTGGAGATTAGGAAATTGAGGCTTAGAAAGATGAAATAAGTTGGCCAGGTGCAGTGGCTTATGCCTGTAATCCCAACACTTTGAAAGCCAAGGTGGGTGGATTACCTGAGGTCAGAAGTTTGAAACCAGCCTGGCCAACATGGTGAAACCCTGTCTCTACTAAAAATACAAAAAATTATCTGGGTGTGGTGGCACATGCCTGTCATCCCAGCTACTCGGGAGGCTGAGGTAGGAGAATTGCTTGACCTTGGGAAGTAGAGGTTGCAATGAGCGGAGATCGTGCCATTGCACTCCAGCCTGGACAACGAGAGTGAAACTCTGTCTCAAAAAAAAAAAAAAAAAAAAAATGGAAAGATGAAAGAAATAACTTGAGCAAGCCCACAGCCAGAGACAGTGGTTTGACAGGTATTTGGATCTAGGCTGGACTGGCTTTGGAGCCAGACTGTGGGACTGAAAGCCGTGCTTGTTATCACCACACTATGCTGATTTGTTAAGGCTGCACTGTCCAAAAGATAGCCACATCACATGGTGACTGGGGACTTGAAATAGTAGTTAATCCAAATCAAGATGTGCTGCAAGTGTAAAATGCACCAGATTGAAAAGACTTTGTACAAAATAAGGAAATGTTAAACATCTCATTAGTAATTTTTTGTGTTGTTTATATGTTACATTGGTTCTATATTCAATCTACTGTACTAAATAAAATATATGCATTAAAATTTCATGTGTTTCTTTTTACTTTTTAATGTGGTTACTATAAAATTTACAATAACATATGTGGCATGCAGATTTGATTGGGTAGTACTACTTTAATGAATAGAAGTCTTTGGCTCCTTTGTTAATCTTTTTTGCTTTGTAGTGATTAAATCACATAAAATTATTGATAAAAATTTTTAAATTTACTCTTCTGTTTTAGTGATCATTACAATTGTATAGCATTACTGGAATTTTTTTTCCCTCTTAGTTGCTCTCACCCGAAGATTTAGTGAATGCATGCAAAATGCTGGAAGCACTGAAATTACCTCTCAGGTAAAGGAACCTCTGCAGGAAGTTCGCCACCTGCAACCCTGATTCTGCATGGGGTAGATGGGAAAGGCCAGCCAAGTTTGCCATCCCTAGTGTCAAGCCAGTATATTGCCTTCTTGCAATTATATTATTTCATCTTTATCAGGGCTGGGCATGTTCTTACAGGACCAGTAGTCAGACTCTTGTGGATTTGGGGGAATGAGATAAGGGTGTGGTTCTTCCCATGAGGTTAGAATAACTAGCCCCTCTTCCCTTAGACATTTTGTGTTAGTCTCTGGAGATGTTCAGCTGTGAATTTTGTTTTTCTTATTCTTTGGTTTAAAAAAGTAACCAGGCGGCCAGGTACAGTGGCTCACGTCTATAATCCCAACACTTTGGGAGGCCCAGGCAGCTGGATCACCAAAGTTCAGGAGTTTGAGACCAGCCCAACCAGCATGGAGAAAACCTGTCTCACTAAAAATACAAAATTAGCTGCGCATGGTGGTGCATGCCTCTAATCCCAGCAACTCAGGAGGCCGAGGCAGGAGAATTGCTTGAACCCGGGAGGTAGGGGTTGCAGTGAGCCAAGATCGTGCCATTGCACTCTAGCCTGGGCAACAAGAGCAAATTTTTTTGTTTTGTCTCAAAAAAAAATTAGCCAGGCATTTTATTTAGCATGTAGATTCTAGTTCATACTTTTATTTTCTGTGTATTCATGAGCTGTTTAGCTATGCCATCATTGCTTGTGTTCGATAGGTTTTAAATGTTGTTTCTTTGAATATTACCCTCATACCTGGGCATAAAAGAAGGTTTAGGGGCCGGGTGCGGTGGCTCACGCCTGTAATCCCAGCACTTTGGGAGGCCGAGGCGGTAGATCACGAGGTCTAGAGATTGAGACCATCCTGGTCAACATGGTGAAACCCCATCTCTAATAAAAATACAAAAAAATTAGCTGGGCATGGTGGCGCGTGCCTATAATCCCAGCTACCCAGGAGGCTGAGGCAGGAGAATTGCCTTAACCCAGGAGGCGGAGGTTGCGCTGAGCTGAGATCGTGCCATTGCACTCCATCCAGCCTTGGTAACAAGAGCGAAACTCCATCTCAAAGAAAAAAAAAAAAAAAAAAAAGAAGGTTTAAAAGATGTGCTCCTGGCTGGGCACAGTAGCTCACGCCTGTAATCCCAGCACTTTGGGAGGCCAAGGTGAGCAGATCAGCTGAGGTCAGGAGTTTGAGACCAGCCTGACCAACACGGAGAAACCTGTCTCTACTAAAAATTCAAAATTAGCCGGGCATGGCGGCGCATGTCTGTAATCCCAGCTACTCAGGAGGTTGAGGCAGGAGAATCACTTGAACTCAGGAGGCGGAGGTTGTGGTGAGCTGAGATCACACCATTTTACTCCAGCCTGGGCAACAACAGTGAAACTCCATCTTAAAAAAAAAAAAAAAGATGTGCTTCTTCTCAGTGGTTGAATATCCTAGATAATTCCTGGCTTTGTTCTCACACCTGTGGTTTTCAGGCTCCGTGTGTTTGACAGTGGCGTCATGGTGATTGAGCTTCAGTCTCACAAGGAAGAGGAAATGGTGGCCTCAGCCCTGGAGACAGTACGTGAAGCCAATTTTTTCCAGTCTTTAAAGCTACGAAGACCCAAAGTCTTGCAACTCAAAAAGCAGGATTTCCTTTTGAATTTAACTTTACTGAAAAGTAGCATCACACACCCAAATAAAAACGGTTTATCACTAACAATGAATCAATATTAACCAAAGTCATACATTAAGAGCTTTTTGAAATTTCTTGACACTCTTAACATCTTACATGTAAGGAGAATTAAAATTAGGTGCTTTCTTTTCGATTAAAGCTTAGTGTTGAGAACAGATTTGTAACTTTATCAGATGTTACACACAATAAGTTTTTCTTCCATTAACACCTAGATAAGCAGCTTTGTAAAACACCACAAGTTGTTTTATGAAAATAATTGCTTCGAAAAATATAAAAAGCAACAGTAGTTTAGATGGATTTTACTGGCCAAACTACCAGTATTACTCATTAGGATATTTAAAATAGTACTGTGTTTATAGCTTCTATGCTGAGCCTGTATAATTTGAATAACTCCCATTTATTATCCTTCTCATTTTCAACTAGATGAAAACCCCAAGACTACAGCTGTTTCTACCACATGTTTTAAACCTACCATAGGTTTATGTATAAAGTTTCTTCACTGCAGCCTGTAATATGTACTCAGAATTTGTTATATATTCTTTTTCAGAATATCCAACAGTTCTTTTTAGGCTTTGGTACAGTGACTTTGTTACATTATAGGGAGCTTGATCTTGATATTTTAGTCTCTTCTATGTCTCTTCTGGGTCCTTCACCTTTTGTAGGATTAAGCATTAGTTAAGATTTAGTTCTAAAGTGAATGTTCTTTGGAATTTAGTAGGACATTAAGTCAATTATTTCTTGCATATACTGGTATCAACTGCCTACTATTAGTACCCAGAGTGTGTTTAAATTAGTGTCCTACGTGAATTACATTTTTTTCTGCTGTGTGTTTCTGTTAGGTTTCGTCAAAGGGATCCCTAACGTCAGAAGAGTCTGCTAAGCTCGTGGGAATGTCTGTCCTCCTGGCCAAAGAAAGGTTAGTGAAGTTCTTACCTTTCATTACAATGTAATGTGTATTTGTGTTTCTGCATGGACAGATAATTGTGTGGGGTTTTTTGTTTTAGGTTGCTGCTTGCAGAGAAGATGGGCCATCTTTGCCGTGATGACTCAGTGGAAGGCCTGCGTTTTTACCCAAATTTATTTATGACACAGAGCTAAGGGTTTTGTATTTAAAATCCTTTGTGTCATATGCTTGCGTCATGTAGAGGTTGTATGACATTGAGCTAAGAGATGAACCCTGATCAACTGAGAATTTATTCGAACTTCACAGTGTAATGTAAAACTCTTGTAATTTCTCACTAAATATGGTCCAGGAAATTTATTTAGGATACACATAGGAAAGTACAGAAAAGTGAATGCCAACATGACTTTAAAATCATGCTATAGTTTTAAAATCATGCCTAAGTTTAATTGAAATATAGTGCATTTTAACTTGATCCTCAAATCTAATTATTTTGTAAAGAAGGGAATTTAGTTTTGCAGAGAATAAAAAGAGAAGTTGCATGTTCGAACAGGTTAGATGATTATTTGGGTGTGACTGAAATTCACCAAATTATACATGACAATGTTGGGACAAAATATCATACTGCAGCATGCTATAGGAGGCTTCTGCCAAGGGCTTTTAGAAGGAGTCATAGGCATGTCTTTAACATACCAAATAAAACACCTTTAAAAATGAAAGAATTTTATTTGAGATATATATATATATGTATTCCATCGTATGTGTGTGTGTATGTGTATATATATATATATACCATCATGTGTGTGTGTGTGTGTATATATATATATATTCCATCTAGGGTATATGTAAACACACATACACATATTCCATCTAGAGTATGACTATATATATATATATATATATATATAGACACACACACACACACACACACCCCCATACACATATATATTCCATCTAGTCTCTTTTTGTTTTTTTAAGTGATGATTTCATGGCTGGCATTTAAAGAACGCAACTGTGTCATTTTGTTTCCAAATGCTATGGGTTTTGAAACTGCACTAGAAAGCTATATAGACATGCCCAGAGTTATGATTACAAATTTAGGAGGTAGACAGCTCAGGAATTCCCTGGGTTGTTGTGCCGGTGGAATGGCAGAGGGAACCTTTAAATAACTTCACAGGAACCTTAGTGCTCTTTTACCTCAAAGCCACAGACAGAAAATAGAGAATGGAAAAGTAATGTCTCCTTTTCTTTTCCATCAGGAGTTTCAACACTGAACTTTAAAAAGTCTCTCTCATATTCCCGCAATATTTTTTTTCTTTGTCGTTTTTCAGTTGTATAGAAAAACTATTTTGGTACCAGGTGTTACTGAGATAACAACTGGCTAATACTGCATGCAGATTGCTTAAATGTTAAAGTGACTGCCTAACTTCACATGTTACTGCTCTATAGCCTCCAGTATTTTGGCATTATCTCAAACTCAGGGACCCCACAGGACAGGAGACTCCGTTCTGAAGCTGGGTTGGAAGTGAAAGGGTAGTGATGGTTTTGGCCAAGCCTGCGGGAGGGAAAGTATTGTATTGGGAGCACCCTTGGGACCAGGAGGAGGGATGCCCAGGTTCACACTCTGGGTCCCCTAAGACATTGCCAGTGGGTAATGTGGAGGGCCACCTCCAGAGCCTGCTGAAGTGCCCTCTGGGAAGTACCATGGACCTTCAGCTGTAGACCGAGGGGATCCCAGTCCCTTATCCCTGTTTAAAAAGTGGCTATTGCTCCTTGGTGTCCTTCAGTGTCACAGGAATACTGTGCCTGAGACATCCTACTTAGTTTTTGTTTTCCAAACCTGTCACTGCTCTTCAATTGTGTGACAGATCCTTTGGTTCCCCCATTGGTCAGCCTCAGATTTATTTTGAGGGTAACTCAGTGTCTGACTGCCCAAGTCTTTTGAGGGGTTAGTTGGACCATTGTGTAAACTTGTTTGTGTGTCTCACCTCTTTCTGGGTGGTACTCACTGTCTCACAGTGCTTTGGCAAACTTGTACACTCTCTATCTCTCTCTCTCTCTCTCTCTCTCTCTCTCTCTCACCTGACTAAGGCTTTTAAAATTATAAAGATAAATAATCTCTTTCACCAGTTGGAGTGAGTTGCAAGGAAGATTGCTGGAGCTATTAGATCTAGCTCTCATGGTTTGGATTCATTAAAGCAAACCTACATAATTTAACATATTTGTTTACTTTAGTTTGACAACTGATGAACAAAAATGGAGCAATCTCAATTGTATAAAGTGACCTAAGAAGGAAGACAAGTGACATATAAATATATTTTACAAATGTCAGATTAATTTAAAATTGAGTATGATTGGTTTTATTATTTTTAAAGTGGGCATTCTTCACTCTTTCTAGACCTTTGTATGTATTTGTGTATTTTTATCTTTTTTTTTGGCCATTATTATAAGGTGTTATTTTGGCCCTCTAATGTAGAAGTTATGTTTAAATATAACCAATCAGGCCCTAAGTACAAAAAAAGTTCTGTCTTGGTGCTTATCATCACTGGCTTAATTGTTATTTTTTTGTTTTCCTAACTTTGCTCTTAGGAGCATGAATCTCTTTGTAGCTTTATGGTAATGCAATATTTCTAGTCGTTTACTGTGAAAAAACTTTTTTACATTGTATTGGTGAAATTATTGTAGGGTTAAATGATTGGTAATAATGTATATAGAGTAAAATTATTACAAAAATTAAAAATGGTTTCTCTTGGCATTCCTTTTTAATACTCTGAAAAATATATGAAAATGATAAACAGTCACACGAAAGCCAGTTATGTTAAGAACTTTTCCTTTGGATTTTATACTCAGGAGTTGCTTATAAATATTTATGACATTGAGCTCTTACTGTTTTAATTGTCTTAAAAGAATGGGACATGTCTTGAACTGGTTTGGTTTTTAAAAAATTCTTATGTGAATTCCACTGTTGCTGACCATGTATATTCATATGAATGTACTCTTTCTTGTTCCTTGTTATCAGATTAATCTGAGAGAACGTGGATCATCCTGTCATCATTCTCATGCTCAAATACTTAAAATGGTTCTTTTGCCCAAAAGTCTCAGGGTCTTCATTTTGGTACAGTGGAGTCACAACTTGTAAGGTGGTTAGGTTTTACAGGCCTTGCCTAAGGACTAAATCGAGCATGCGCAAAATGGTCCTTGAAAATCTCCTAAGTTACCAATAAAGTTCTCTTTGTAGTCTTAAAGTTTAAATTCCATCAGAGTTATATGTAGGTATGAACACATTTTGCTTATATTAAGTACAAAAATACAAACTGTGTGTCAAGAGTAGATTCTTATAGCATTAATTTATGGGCATGTGTCCTTTTTCTAAGAGGTATGGTTGAATTTACACAAATTGATTGCTAATCCCATCCCTTACGGTCTAGAGTTTCAGCTGCACAAGGGCAGTGGTTTTTAGCTGGTTTGTTCATAGATATATCCTCAGAGCCTGGAACAGGGCCTGGCACACAGTAAGCATTCAATAAATATTTACTGAATGAATGAACTCTGACCTATATTCCTATGTATAATTTGGTTCCACTTTATCCTACTTTAGCTCCCATTCAATTCAATGAAAAAAACATTTTTTTTAACACATAGCAACTTTGTGTCAACAATTTGTTGGGCACTGGTAGTGGGAGGGGATACAAAGATGAATAAGATCAGCCCTGTCCTTAAGAAAAGGGAGACCTAGTTGGGGAAACTGACACGTAAGCAACTTTCACTGAAGATGGAATGAAGTAAATGCCATGGAAGGGGCATACGGACCATGCTGGGGAGGACAGAGATAGGAGACCTTAGTCTTGATGGAGGGCTTTGGAAGCCTTCAAAAGAGAGGAAGAACCTGGTAAACTAGGCTCACAAAGACCAAGAGATTGTCAATAAGTGGCAGGTGTTGGGAAAAAGGAACAGCAGAGGTGTGCCCCTTCATGGTCCTGGACACATTCCCTTGTCTATCCAAAGCTCCCTTCGTTACTACTTTTTTTTTTTTTTTTTGAGATGGAGTTTCACTCTCACCAGGCTGGAATGCAGTGGCAAAATCTCAGCGCACTGCAACCTCCGCCTCCCAGGTTCAAGCGATTGTCCTGCCTCAGCCTCCAGAGTAGCTGGGACTACAGGCGCCTGCCACCACACCCGGCTAATTTTTTGTATTTTAATAAAGACAGGGTTTTACCGTGTTGACCGGGATGGTCTCGATCTCCTGACCTTGTGATCTGCCTGCCTCGGCCTCCCAAAGTACTGAAATTACGCACGTGAGCCCTTCGTTACTTCTTCCCACTCACCTGCCCTCTTCCATGCCCACCCCCACCAATCTAAATTATACTTTGCTCAATCCTGCCTGCTCCAGAAAAGTTTCCAATACACAGCACTATTATTTCTAAACTCTACATGTTTTCACTAAATCGGTATAAAATTTCACAACTATTGTATGCTTTCTACAGTGGAGGGAAGGAGGGCTTAGAAAAACCCAGATGCTTGTCTTTTCCATACACTTAACTATTTGTCTTGATACCATAAGAAAATAGAGAAACTGGGTTTAAGTTCAAAGACTGTCGTGTAATATTTCTTTTGAATTCTCACTCACCTAGGTCAGTGACTGTCCATGGTAGATTCCGAGTAAAGTATTAACTAAATTGAGTGATTTTTGAATTATAATACTGAGTCTTGCATGAGTTGAGTAGCAAACCAAACTGTGTTGTGTGTCTTTTATCCTCTTCCCAATAGGTTTCTCAACCAGACTTGTCAAGGTTTAGCCTGTCTGAGTGAGATCTGCTCTATCTTATTCAATTATCATGGCATGAGCCACATCAGTGATGTGGAAAGCACTCCAGACTAGTTGTTATACACATGTAAAATCTTGTTATTACCGTGTGAAAATTGGGCCATTCATGTTCTTCTTGTGTCCTGATATGAAATCATGAGTCAGTTATAG